CTACTTAGCAATACATATCCTTTTCATAAGTAATTTTTCTGATGTGGAAGCTTAGAAAGTCTGTCACTAAACTAGTTACTGTGTTACAACTTTATAGTTTGACAATGACAGCAATGTGCCAAAATGCTTTAATTGGAAATTACTTAATCTTTTTAAAGTTACTTTAAATTTTCACCATAATGAACAGTCCTTTCAATTGGAAGGCTAGTGTCCAGAAGTGCTGCTTTTTTAGAAATTCTATTTTAGAAATTTATTGGCAGACACTGCCAAGAGCATTGCCCCTGCCTAAAAAATGCATAAACAATGTAACAAATCTATTTAGCCATAGACACAGGCCAAAATGGAGACGTGTGAGTCTCGATGGTATCCTGCATACATTTGACTCTCTGTAGGCTTTGTGACCTATTGGGGTATCTATTTTAAGGATTACATGCAACTGAAATCCTAGAACTGCTCACACTGGGACAGAGGTGGGTGGTATTTTGGAAATCAAACTCACAAACAAATCCAAGTTTTACAGGTGGCCCAAAACTGGTCTGTACCAAAACTGACACTGCGAGTGGGATCTGGATTTTGTATGTAGATCCATCTGTTTTAACAAAAATTATCCTTTGGGTGGCTTTTACTTTTTTCTTTCTTCCTCATTTGCCTTTATATCCTTTAGAAATTTTCTTAAAGTTTATGTAACCACAGTGGAAGTTCCAAAGCAGATTCCTTAGGGTTGTCATCCAGTACTAGGGGCTATGTTAGCTAAACTTCTCAGAGTGTAAAACTAAACAAAAGCACTTTGTGTTCACTCTACACTGTTCAGCTATATTATTCACAGACTCTTAGTAGGCAAACTTCTGAAAGTTTCCCAACTTATTTAAATTAATCTAAAAATAAATCTTCTGGTATGATTATGTCATTACTGGAGGAAATTTATCTCATGTTTTATAATCAAAAACCAATGGTTATCACTAGCTTGGTTTCAAATAAAGTTTTTTAGCTGTATTTTTATTATTATTTTACAAAAATACTTTAAAAATTACTAATTTCAGTTTCAAAAATTGGAAAATTCTGAATACTATGATTTATGCAAGAAAGAACACCTTTTTCCTGTCTGTGGCTTATCTTGGGGGAGACTTTTAGGTTACTTAATATTGATAATAGTTTTTTAAAATATATACATGCACATGTAACATAAAATATATCTACTTATATTTTAAATTTATGGTTGAAAATCCAACAAAGGTACTTAAAGCTGTTCTCAAAATACTGCATGGTTTAGACTTTGCAATCCCTCTCAACTCCTCGGTTCTTCCTTAGGAAGTTAATAATCATTGACAATCTGGCCTTCTAGACTTGCTACCTTCCTTAGGCTGTGCTTCCTTTCAAAGACCATAGCATCACAGAATAGTTTGGGTTGGAAAAGACCTTCAGGGATCTTCTAGTCCAGCTACCCTGCATTGAACAGGGACATCTTCAACCAGATCAGATTTCTCAAGAGTCCTGTCTAACCTGACCTTGAATGTCTCGAAGATGAGTGTCCCTAGTTAAAAGCCTGAGATTTTTAAGAGAACACATCCTTTGCTAGCTCTTCAGCTTTCTAATAATTCAAAAATCTTTATCAATCTCAATTGTATCTAGAAATTTTTACTCAGCTTAATCATAGAATCATAGAATGGTTTGGGTTGGAAGGGACCTTAAAGATCATCCAGTTCCAAGCCCCCTGCCATCAGCAGGGACACCTTCCACTAGACCAGGTTGCTCAAAGCCTCATCCAGCCTGGCCTTGAACACTTCCAGGGAGGGGGCATCCACAACTTCCCTGGGCAACCTATTCCAGTGTCTGACCACCCTCACAGTGAAGAATTTCTTCCTAATATCTAATCTAAACCTACTCTCTTTCAGTTTAAACCCATTTCCCCTTGTTCTGTCATTCACTGCCCTTACGAAAAGTCCCTCCCCAGCTTTCTTTTAGGCCCCCTTCAGGTACTGGAAGGCCGCTATAAGATCTCCCTGGAGCCTTCTCTTTTCCAGGCTGAACAGCCCCAACTCTTTCAGCCTGTCCCCATAGGAGAGGTGCTCCAGCCCTCGGATCATCCTTGTGGCCCTCTTCTGGTCTCATTCTAACTGTTTCATGTCTTTCTTGTGTCAGCAATCAAGTACTATCTTTTATTAAAAGGAAAATATCTCTCAATGTTAGTGGCTGTTCCTTTTCTCCCTACCATTAGTTAGGTTGTACGCTTCCACAATAGCGTCCCGCATACCTTCGTTCCCATCCTATGGTTCTGTATGTTACAGCGCTCTCTTCTCATATGGAAAGCATTCCAGGCCTCTAATTATTTCCATTGTCCTTTTCTTTTCTGGACCATTTCCATTTCTGCTTTATCCGTTATGAAATTAGATGACTAAGATTTAGCAAAGTATAAGACAGAAGTGGTGTCACTGATTTATGTATCACATTTTGCTACTCTCTATCTCCAAATAAACATCAGTTCTCTCAGCATATTTTGAACATTAGTGCACACAGAAAGACCTGTGTAAGACTATCTAAACTTCATATTTTTGTGTGAATTTAGAGTAGTTTCAGTTATACTTCCCAGCATGCATACTTTTACATCTTAGACATAGATTTGCACAGACTGAGACTGGTATTATTTTTTGGTACAACCAAATGCTTTACTTTTCAGCCTTCATTAGAATGGTCTTGTGCTTCAGGACAATATTATTGTTTTAACTTAAGCTGTCTGGCTCCTTTTTCAGCTGTGAATGTACTTACCAAAAACGTTGTTGATACCAAAAAAGGTATCCAAAGAAAATTCTGAACATGTTTATACACAAAAGGTAATGGAGTCCAAAATCAAGAGTTTGAGTTAGGCTATTAAAATTATATTTATCCATTTAACTGTGCTGAGCATCTTTTGCTTTCATAGTTCCTCAGAAGTAAAAAAACCTGCTGAAAATTCAGGTTTTCAGACACCTGAATTTGCACCCAGGAGCCCAATTTTAAACAGTCACTTCTGTAAGCCTTACTCAAAGTTTTTATAAGAAGCAGCTGAGTTAAATAAGTTTAGGAAAAATGTTGGTTTGCTTGAGTTTTTTTCTTTTAAGCAAATTCAAAATTATTAGAAAATCTGTTTCTAACCTTAAAAAGAACTTGCAGTATATCTCTGTATGAGAATAATATATCTTTCAGTTTGATATTAATTTTAAAGTACTCCTGAGCTCTATTAGAACACTCTGAACACAGTTTTGCCAGATTTCTTTGCCAAAAGACCATAAAACATAATAAAGGATTTGCATTGCATCACAATGTTTCTCTACTGATATGAGAACAGCCTACTATGAAGGATGCTATTTAATTCAAAATGCTGGGGAACAGTATAACAGAATAAACAGAAGGGAACATTTAGAGAGAACATGAGAGGGGGGGAAGTTGGTCTTTTTTTAAAGTAGTCTATCAACACAGGCCCGAATATGCAACACTTCCAAAGGAAGAGATGTAATCCTCATCACTGGAGCAGTTTACATTTAAGCCACACAAGTTGCATGGGAATATATAGTAGAGAGTAAACCCACACTGCCTTGAGCTGAACAGTTTGAATGATCTAATATGTCCTTCTGCCTCTTAAACAGAGTATTGAATAAAGTTGCAGGTGACAAGGTTTTGACTGGGGTTTTTGTTTGAGGGTTTTGTTTGGGTTTTGCTTTTTGTTTTTTAGATAATTTATGGCATTTAGAACTCCGGAATTACAATGAGCAAATATGCTGGTCTCTTCAGACTGCTGGTGCTTACCCTTGCATAGACCTCTTTCATCCATGCTTCCACACTCACTGAAAGACTAACACAATCCACACATCTACAGTTTTTCTCTAAGTTTATCCTGTACCCTTTCCCAGAAGGGTTTTAATGGCTTCTTCCCAGATGGATACTATTTTCTTTCCTCAACATTATTTCCCTCAATATTTTTAACCCTCTGCATGTCATACCAGATACTTCTGTTAATCCCCTTTTAGTTGTTATTCTTAGCATATGCCTCTTCTCTTATAGTCTCCCTTATGTTTTTTCTTCCCTCACTTCTGTATGACTGCCTTATTTATTGTAGCTACTAATTTGTTCTTTCCAGTGTCCCATTTCCATCCTTTATAGTGGTCTCCATTCACCCATCTCACTTGATCAGTTCTGATGAAAGGAATTTCTTTCCAGAGACTTTCTGAAGTGTCTTTAGCATTTGAAAATTGAAATCCTGCCTGAATTTCTTTATCAGTCTCTGTCAGAAACCTGTTTACTAAGAAAGGCAGACCTGAGTAGAATTGTCCTAGAGTCTTTGTCCATCCCTTCTTTCAAAAGATGTTATTTCTATCTTTTGTGTTTGTAGTAAGCCTAATGCACCCACAAAAAAAAAAAAACCAAATAAAATCCAGCAAAGCAAAAGGAAGAAAAATGATCCCTTATTATAAATAAAATCTCATTCAAGAGAAGACATTCATTTTTTGGATGTCTACAGCACCAAAAGTGCCTACATCCAAGTTCATCAACATTATAACAGATACATATGTATAAAGTTCTGGATTACTTTCCTTCCTTTAGCACCCTTTTCTCTCCATTGATTGTAAAGGAAGTCTAGAGTAAATTAGTTATAGGCATCTGTAAAGTTAACATCCATGGCTGGTTGAATTACTCCCAGTAGAGGGAGACAGATGCTCAGAGGAACAAATCAGTATTACTAATGTAAAGTCAATGGAATTATGACCTACATCAGCTATGGTCAATGTATAACAACCCAATGATATTAAATTCAAAAAATCAAAAATCACCATTAGTACAAAGGTCAGCCTCAGCACTGTCTGAACCTTATTTGATTTGTGGGTTCTTATCAGGTCTTTTGTCCTCAATTATAATGTCACTTTCTTTCTTGGAATAAGCTCATTAAGTTCTATCTTTCCAAAAATTCAATAATTACTTCAGAATTAATTTCCTAGTACTTCTAATGTTTTATGATGCTACTTTCTTACCTCCTTCCTTGGAACAGAGAGTGATCAGAGTATGAACTGTATCCATCAATTCAAGTTGCTGTTTCTGCAGGACACTGTTGTTGCTTGTTGCCTTGTTTAACTGCTTCTCTAGTTCTTGGATGATGTAGCTTTGTCGTGTGACCAAGCTTTGTAGGTTTTCTTTTTCCTCCTTCAAAGTGTCCAGCTCCTCTTTATGCCTTTCTTCCATTTCTAAAATTCTGTGCTCAAGTAAACTAAAATGAAATAAAACAATTAGTAGATATTATTTCATGCTAACATATTTATTAATACAGAAAACAGAACTATTTCATTTTCACCATAGAATTCAGGACATAAATAATTTATTCTAAAAATGTTAAATCTACAAATTCAGCATACTGATTGCCTCTGTCAAGCAGCCAAATATGACTGCTCTCTAAGGTTCCATTTTGTGATATTTGCATGCTTTAGTGCTTAGAACAAAGTGCATGGAATTGCATATCTAGTTGTTACAGCCATTCAAGTGCACGAGCACAGGACCAGTAACACATTTGTATACGGGGCACTGAAGAGAATATCATTGCTAGTATGGATGGGTCAATATGATGAGAGAAAGAAATCAGGGGTAAACTAAGGAAGAGTTTGTGAAGGGCCTTAACACTGAATGGAAGATAAGCGTTAGGAGCTATGGAGTACCATCAAAGGACTTGTAACCCGCAATAAAAGTATCATTTGATGTGGGCTGTGAAGTTGGGAAAAGAATTGTGCACCAGATGAATGGTATCTGCTTTCACATTGAGAATAGTACTGTTTCCCCCAAAGTTAGATCAAAATTTTTGCATTTTAAGGTAGGAATCCCTTGTTTTCTTTGAGTCCACATAGATATTCCCCACCTCAGTCTTTTCTGGTTCCACAAAAGGCTCCTCAGATGGAAAACTGTTAGGCATCATACTATGTGACCTGTTCACACCGATTTTTATAAATAATTTTACACATGTATGGAAACATTTTCTCCTAATATCCTTTTTCTAGTACCCTTTCTCCCGAGCCAGAAGTATACAATTTACAGAGATGAAAGACATGTCAGATTATATCTAAAAGAATAGAGGAGTTGTAGACATAAAAGACAGCTAATAGTTGTCAATGGTGAACAAGAACTTTTTTCAGTGCTTTGATGCTGTGGTGGGAGTTTAATAGAAAGATTTTATTAATATTATATAAAGAAATTAATTAAATCCCTTTGTTAATTTCTGTTCAGTAATTCTACTGTATACGTCAAAAGAGATGTTTCTCGTGCCCATAAGCCAACTGGTAGTTAGAAACTTGCCAACAAACTGTTTCCTGTTCAAGTCAGTCTTAGGTTTTATTTATTTGCACTCTCTCCCCACCTTTGCTTTTACTTCTGGATAATAGATCAGTGACAAAATGCCTGCATAATTTCAGGTCATTTAACCTAACTGAAGAATGTAATAAAATCCATATGGAGTTGTTTCTACTAGATATCATGGAGCCTTAATATGAGCTGTTACAAATGATAACAATACAAAGATTAAATTCAGGCCCTGGATTTGCTGTACAAGCTAGAGCAATATAAAACTTTTTTTTTTTTTTTAATAAAAGAAAACAAGCAGCAAATCTCTTTTTCTGAAATGTTATAAATGTGGGACTTAAAAAGATACTGAAGAAAGTATACTTTGTAATATCAACATATCTAGTTCTGTGAAAACCAGAAGGATCTAGAGAAAGGGGGAAAAAAAGAAAAGATGGGAAGGGAAAACACAGTTTTGTGGGGTCCCAAACGAAAAGGGAAACTTGGTATCTCATTCTACAAGGCTCATTAATTAGTAATAAAAACATAAAAAGATTCAGTGGACTTGAATCAGATGATAAAAAGTTTCAATCTGAAACAAAGTACGGATTTTGAAGCCAAAGATAATAAATTATTTTAACACCTTATCAGACCTGAGCTGATTTTTTTCATCACTTGAATTCTAACATTAAACATGATACTTTTATGCTCTAGTCTTATATGGGGTTTTTTGAGACTATTTACATGGATGTCTTTGAGTTTTGTTATGCAGAAAGTCAGACTAATTAGTTTAGATAGGCAAAAGTGGTTGAAAATGTTCTGATGGAACTGGTTTTAGTCATAAAATACTGTTCAGTAAAATAATAATACAAAAAAAGTTCTATGTGAATTTTATCAGTTCTGTCCACTTTTTATTAAAATTACTGAAATGCTCATTTTATCTCTAGATTTTAACTTTTCTGATAGACTGTAAGTTATATCAATGCATTTTGGATAGGAACAAGGTAGGCTCTGGGCACAGCCTGTGAAATAATGGGTAGTAGGTGTGGCCATATCCCAGTTTGACTTCTTACAGTCCACTGAAAATGTTGTCTTTTGTCAACAGAAGAGAAGATGCCATTCTTGAAGCCAGAATATTGCTTTATAGCTAAATGGTACGTAAAGACAAAAAAAAAATTCCCATTGTCTTTGTCCTATCCTAGTACAGGGCATTTCCCTAATTCCACAACATCCTATCTACATGTCCACATGTAAATCTAAATTATTTCCACATCTGAATTATTCATGTAAAAGAAAGCTTTTTGACAGCCACAATTTCTGCATTGCATTACTTGTTTCCCACCATAGCCTAAGACCACAGTAAATGAACTCATAGTGATGACAGTCTTATTTGTAGCAACACTGGACATGTCAAGCAAGGAGGAAGAATGTTTAGAGCTTCCCAGTTTGGCATCCTCAGAGATAGACAGCAAGCAGATGTTTTACAGCTTTAGTAATAATACATCCTAATATTTATGAGTAGTGTGTCAACAACATGTGGTAGAAAGACAGGAGTGTCACAGTACTTGGTTCCTTTACATTTTTCTATGTAGATTAAAAGTCTTGTTGTTATAAACTGCAAAACTAAGCTATTTTAAGGAATGTATTTGCATTTATGCAATGATCTTTCTGTATCCATAAATCTGCAATAGATAAGAATAAATCCTGAAGATAGGAACACTCCCTGTATTCCTGGGAGAAATCCAAAACATTCATTTTTTTTTTCTTTCAGAATCAGTGAGAAAACTTTGGTCAAAGCTCCAAATTAACAAAAGCAAAAACTTCACATAGATTGAGGATTTCTGCATTGGCCTGTTCCAAAAGGAAAAAAAAAAAATCCTTTAACACCATGAGAAAAGCTGCTCTTGTGTTTTTTGACTCCAACATGGCCAGCATTTTTCACTTGCATTGTTACATTCATATTTATTGTATTTATTATAGGTCATTTAGCAGGGCCTCTAGCAATAGGACAAGGGTTAATGGTTTTAAACTGAAAGAGGGTAGATTTAAACTAGGTATAAGGAAGAAATTTTTACAACGAGGGTGTTGAAACGTTGGAACCTGTTGCCCAGAGAGGTGATAGAAGCCCCATCCCTGGGAACATTCAAGGTCAGGTTGGATGGGGCTCTGACCAACCTGATCCATTTGAAGATGCTCCTGCTCACTGCATGGGTGTTGGACTAGATTACCTTTAAAGGTCTTTTCCAACCCAAATAATGCTATGACTCTATGATTCTAATTTTAAGAAGTGTTATAAACCTCATCAAAAAACCTTGAAACTTGTTGAAACCAATTACAAAGATATTTAGATTTCATTTTTCTAACAGTTATGAGACCACTCTGTTCTGTCTTTTTCCCCTGTGATACCAGTCAATTTCTAATAGACAAATACCATCACTAAATGACTTTACTTGATAAAGATATTTTCTCAGTTTTTTAAAAAGGCATTGTGAAGACAGAGTTAAAGTGAAAGTATTTATACTAGTTTTCATTAATGAGTGTTGCTGACATAAAATATTAAAGAAAATAAAAAGAAGGCTGTCTCTGTACCAATTAATCCAACAATTTATATCAGTTGAGTGAAAATGTTAAATAACATTTTTTTATAACATTTTCCAGTAAAATGTTATGGGCAAGTTGTAATAACTGACTCTTTTTTACAGTTAGTTTACTGTATACATTTCCTATACAATTGAAATTCCTATACATTTCCTATATGTTTGAAATTCCTAAATGTTTGAAAACATTACTGACCTATACAGATGAAACAGTCATGGGAACTATAATACTCATCATAAAAATAAATCACCATTCACTAGAAGCATCATATGTATACATATATATACACACGCATATACACATAGGTATGTGTGGTTTTTTTTATAATTGTAGCCTTCAATTTAGGGAAACAAATCAGGCATTTGTGAAACAGAATGGTGTTGTGAAGAAACAAATTTTCTTAACATGGGTAAATACCAATATTTTCCACTGGATAATGACTCTTTGGAGTCTTATCCAGAAGACAATTAAATTAAAAACAAACACACACACACACCCCAAATTCAGACAAACTTAATTTTCCTAAAAGTTAACCACATTCAATGTCTAACCTACTGGCAAGACTAGGAATCTATTTTCAACCATACAAACGATGTGTTAACTTTGTAAGGACATAAGCCAGGGAGGTGTCTGGGTGCAACTCTGCTGTATCCAGCTGATTCCAAAAAAGCCTTCTGATAAAGCTGGAGAGGGTAGAAGGCCTGTACAGAAGTCAAAGAATGACTTCCAGTAAAAGCTGCTGTCATTTTGAAAGGTGATGAAGTAGAACATATAGAAAGTATTCTGGTAGCTCTCTGGGGAAGAAGAAAGCCTGGTTTAGACAACCTGCCTTATAAGATAGGTAGTTTATTCACTAATCCATTCCAGACCATGGCAATTTAAGAGATTTTTTTTTTTTTTT